TTGCACGCGGGAGCCTTCTCAGCGGCCTCCTGGGCCGTCATCAGGGAGTCCTGGTAGGCCTATGTCGGACCCTCTGGGGGCCCAGATCGGCCGTTCCGGGTCCCTCTTCGCCCGTCATGGGGACCTGACCCTGTCTTGGGGCCCTCTCCGACCGTGTAGGGATCCTCCGGTGGCCCCCTCGGGGTTGCTGGGTACTCTCTTGGGCCGTGTTGGAGCTCTCCTGTGCTGCTTGAAGCTCTCTTCAGGCCGTCTGGGGGCCCTCTTGGGAGCCTCTTGGGCCGTCTGGCGCCGATTTTGGGAGCATCTGGGGCCGTCACGGCCGCTGGTAGGACCGACAAGCAACTTTCCTGGACATACGTTTTTGCATGGGACATGCTTCATTTTTGCCCTTGGAGGGTTTTCTCGGCGGCCTCTTAGACCGTCTTGAATGCCTTTGTGGCCGTCCAGGAGCAGTCTTGGGCTGTCGTCGAGCGCTCGTGGCCCGTCCAGAAGCCATCTCAGTGCGCTCTTCAGCCACCTTCCAGACAACCTGGGGCGATGTGGGCGCCTCTTGGGCCAGCATGGGAGCCTCTGGGGGGGGCCCGGGGCCCCTTCTGAACCCTCTTGTACCCATCAAGGCCCCACCAGCCTCCCATGTCAACAACAGCATCATGGGCAATTGGCCTAATGCTGCTAACCATGCCGTCACGTCAAACTTGCCCACCACCACCGTCAGCATGATCATCATGACCATCATGATGATGATCATCACCATCACCACCATCATCATCGTCATCATAAACATCAGTATCAGCATCATCAGCATCATCAACATAATTCAGCATTAATGGCATCACCATCACCATCACCATCACCATCTCTACCATCATCATCACCATCACACTCACCATCATCAGCATCATCATCTCCATCATCCTCATGATCATTCACATCGTCATCATCATTGTCATCGTCATCACCACCGTCATCATCATCATCATCATCATCATCATCACCACCACCATCACCATCATCACCATCACAAGCATCGTCGTTATCTTCATCACAATCACTATTATCACCACCAGCAGCATTATCATCACCATCACCATCATCATCATCATCATCATCATCATCATCATCATCATCATCATCATCATCATCATCATCATCATCATCATCATCGTCGTCGTCGTCGTCGTCGTCGTCATCATCATCATCATCATTGTCATCATCATCATCATCACCATCATCATCATCATCATCATCATCATCATCATCATCATCATCATCATCACCGCCATCATCATCATACTCATACTCATACTCATACTCATACTCATACTCATCAGCATCATCATCATCATCATCATCATCATCATCATCATCATCATCATCATCATCATCATACTTATCAATATCCCCATCTTCGTCCGAATCGTGATCTTCAATTCTCACTCACATCACTATCATAATCAACACCGCTACGCTAGCCGTGCACACCGTCACAATCATCGTACTACTCAACCTCCTCCTCCTCATCATCATGATGAACATCAACATTGTCATCGTTGTCGTCGTCGGCCCGATATTCCAGGAGATGTACCCCCAAACATCCGGCCGACTGCACGCCTCGGAGAACCTCTCGGAGGCGTTTGGGGGGGTGGGGGGGCTCGCCATCGCTCGGACGTCCATTCTCTGTGTTTTTTTCGGTTTCGTGCGTGTTTTTTTCGACAAATGATCGAGGATGCTCCTCGATGGTCCTCGCCGAGGAAAAAAACGCACACGTCCGAGCGATGCCAAGGGGGTGCAGTCTCCTGGGATCCCACCAGCCCTCTAGGACGTGAGCGGTTCAGAGGGCTTCCTCCTCCAGTGCCCCTCCCCGTGCCCCCTGCCCCTGGACCTGGAGGGGCGGGGGCAGTCGCGAGGTGTCAGTGACTACCTACCAGACCACCCCAACCCAACCCGAAGACCCCAAGGTCGGGTTGGGGGGGTACGGGTTCCATATGTGTTTTTTTAGTGCTCCCCGACCCCCCCCACTGGAAATGGAGGGCAAATTGAGGCCTTCGGGTTGGGTTGGGGTGGTTTGGTGGGTGGTGAGTCAGAGGGTGGTGGTTTCGTCCAGGCCCAAACCAATGATCTTCTCTAGTTTTTGTTGACAGATGTTGAAGCTCTCATGTGTTCGGGTTTCCGACCGCCCAATACGGCCCGAGAAGCCTCCAAGAGGCCTCCCAAATAGCGCAACGACGGCCCAAGAGGCCCCACGAGACTCCAAAGATCGCCCAATGGGGCCCCCGAGAGGGCCCCCAGACGGCCGTGGACCGCTTCAGGGGGGCACCAACGCGGACCAGAGAGGCCCCCAAGGCGGCCTCCATAGGCATCAGACGGGCCAGGAGTCCCCAACGACGGCCCGAGAGGTCCCCAAGAGTCTCCATGCGGCCCCCAAAGACGCCTTCAGGAAGCTCCTGGGAGGCCCCCCCAGGAAACCCCAAGTAGGCTCCAAGAAGCCCTTTCTTCCTCATCCTGATGTTCTTCCTTCCTCTCCTCCTCCCTCCTCCCTCCTCCCCCCTCGTCCTCCCTCCTCCTTCTCCTCCTCCTCCTCCTCCTCCTCCTCCTCCTCCTCCTCCCTACCGCGCGGACGAAGACGGTCAGGATCGCGACCCGCTCCAATGCAGACTACTCGTCGGAATTGTGCTGTTCCTACACTCGGCCTCATTCCGCTGCGCAATTGCACAGGCGCGATGGCGGGGGGTGCCGCAGGCAGCTGGATCAGAGCTGGATCTACCAATATTATGATTCTATTTGAATAGGATCGAGCCCGTCTGTGATGCTATTGAAATTGGGTCCAGCTACGGTCGGATTCTATTAGAGCAATGGGTGGAGCCTGAAGTGGGATGCACAGAGACATACTAATACTATGTGTCCGCCTTGGAGGCGCGCGTCCGACCCGAACATATAGTATACCCATCTTGTAGTATATCGTTTCCCGAGCGGTGTGGCCAGAAAGCGCCCGCCACGACGCATATACTATAAGATTTCTCGGTGCGCGCGTCGCCCCTGGGGGGGCGACGAACACATAGTATCAGTATGTTGGGGGGATGCCGATGAAGGGTTCAATCAGAACTGGGCCCAGCTATATTGGATTCTGCTCGAATAGGGTCGAGGCCGACCAGGGTGTCAAGCCGGACCCAGCTATACAAGGATTCGATTACCGCGTCGACGCGACGCCAGCCCGCCGTGCGTGCGCGCGGGCAGGCGGGGGCACAGAGCACCTGGGCGGGGCCTCGGGGGGGGGGGGGAGCTCCGCGCGCCCCCCCCCTACCCCCGCGGCGGCCTCAGGACTCCTGCCTCAGCACGCGGCGGAGCTTCCCCGCCATGGCCTGGCGGGGCCGCGCGGTCGGGCTCTCCGCCCCTCCCTTTTCACGACCTCCCTCCACGAGCTCCTCCTGCCTCCTCCCTCACCCTCCTCCCTCCTCCTCCCACCGCCCGCGCCTCCCATCGTGCGCTCTCTCTCTCTCTCTCTCTCTCTCTCTCCTGCACCCCACCCCCGCCCCCCTCCTCCCTCCTCCTCTCTCCTTCCCTCCTGCCATGGTTCTGCTCCGCTCCGCTCTACTCCCCATCCTCCATCCCCTCCGCCATTCCCGCATCTCCATGCTCTCCCCTCCCCCATTCCCAGCCCCCCCCCTCCACCGCCTTCGCCCCGTCCTCCCAATCTCCTCGACGGCACTCCTCTCCATGAGCAATGTCGAACCGATCGTCCAATTACGTTGGAGGCGACGCAAGCCATCAGAGTGCCCTTTCTCTGCATTACCCACGTCCACCCCTCATCACGTCCCTCCACTCTCCTCCGCTCCACTCCCTCCCCGTCACCTCCCTTGCTCTCCTGGCTCTCGACGCCTTTCCCCCCCCCCCCACACCCCAAACCCACTTAAATATCATCCTCTTCCGTCCCCTCCCCTCCCGTCCTCCGCCTCCCATCTCCCCCCCCCATCCATGGGGAAACATCGACCTGGAATCGGCAATACATCGCCGATGGATGGGCGATAGGCCCCCGGCAGCGAACTCGTACATCCTTGGGCGGGATGGGCTATCAGTCTCTTATCGGCGATGCATGGGCGATTCGGGGTCGGTGCTTTCCTCCTTGACCCTATCCACCCCTACCGTTGCCAATGTCGGGCGCACGCTAGCATGGAGGTAGGGGTTTGCGCCAAATCCACGGATCGGAGAATGCCGCCCGATTTGGTGACACATTGCGCCGACCTGATATGGAAACTGGACCCGTATACACATGGCTTACACCACATTTGCATGTCTCGACTCTGACATTTCCTTGCCTTAATTCCGCCATCTCCCCTCAACAAGTCCGTACGGAAAACATGGGTACCCTGGCCAACAACACATACTGTCCAAAACCGACAACGGCCGCTGTTAGGTAGGCGACCTTTGTCTCAAAAGGGCAACGTCCGTGGCGACGCCGACAACGATCCCTGCTCAAAATGGGCAGGAACTGCCATCGGCCGATTCTTCCCGTACCCATCTCGATCTTCCCGATCCCTCCTCCCACTTGGGTAGCCTCCCATACCACCTTGTTGGCTCTTGCGAATCAGCGCCAATCGACGTCGACGCTAAATCGACACTATCTCACCGATTACCAGACGCTAATCGACGCGAGTGCACGCTAGGAACGGGATCAAATGGTACGTATATCAGGCCCCCATGATTTGCTACCAAACCCCACCACTCTCTTGAGCAGGGACCGACCGTCCCGGCATTCCTATAGGCCTACCGCGAACTGCACTGAGAACACCCAAAATGTTCCAAGTACAAAAGCAATGTTCTTAGAACATCAGCCCGATGTGTTTTAAAAAGGCAGTCTGAGCAAAACCTGATGTGAGGACATTTCGTGCTAACCACAAAAAGGTTCTTAGAACATTCTTTGGTGGACCGAGATGCAAGCCAAGACGCTTCGCCACCGCTTGAACTCTCCCCGTGCCCACCCCGGCCAGGCACCCCGGCTTTCTTCACCGCGGTGATGCGCGGCCCGGCTGGCTCCTCGCCGCTGCCGCCGGCGCGGAGGCTGGAGGCGCAGAGGACAAGGGGGGGGCCTGGCGAGGAGGAGGAGGAGGAGGAGGAGGAGGAGGAGGAGGATTTTTCAACAGTGACCATGACTGACGCAACAGGCTCGCTCGTCAGAAGAAAAAGAAAATCTCTGGCGGTGACCAGCGGGACGGGCCACCCAGGCAACCAGAGGTCAGCCAGAGTCGCCAGACTCCACGGCGCTTACGCGAGCAGCTTGCTGAGGAGCCTAAGAGGAAAACGACGACGACGACGACGTTTTGGGCGCTTTGGAAGGAGGCGGGGAGTTAGGAAAAGAGAGGGAGAGGCCAGGAGAAAGGAGAAAAGCTATCAACGGACGTTACAGGGAAGAACACATAGAAACCGGCCAGGGGGGCCGCCCAACAACCGCCGAATGATCAAAAACAAATAGAAAACTGCCAGGGGGGGCCGCCCGACAACCGCCACATTAACAAAAACCAATTGGACTCAAAAAGAGGCTGCCCGATAACCGCCGAAAAATCAAAAACCTATAGGAAACAACAAGGGGCCGCCCGACAACGACGAAGAATCAAAAATCAATAGAAAACGGCCACGGGGCCGCCCGACAACTGCCGATTAATCAAAAACCAATAGAAAACGGCCAAAGAGCCGCCCGACAACCGCCGAGTAATCAAAAACCAATAGAAAACGGCCACGGGGCCGCCCGACAACCGCCGAGAAATCAAAAACCAATAGAAGACGGCCAAGGGGACGCCCGACACCGACAACCGCCGAATAATCGAAAACCAATAGAAAACGGCCAGGGGGCCGCCCGACATTCGCCAGATAATCGAAAACAGACAGAAGGAGAGGAGGAGGAGGAGGACGAGGAGGAGGAGGAACATTGGGAAGGAGCGGAGGACGACGAGGAAAAGGACGAGGAGGAGGAGGAGGAATAGGAGGACAAGAAGGGGAGGAGGATAACGAAAAAGAGGAGGAGAAGGAAGGAGGAGGGGGGAGGAGGAGGAGGAGGAGGAGGAGGAGGAGGAGGAGACGGAGGAGGAGAACGAGAAGGAGGAGGAGGAGGAGCAGCAGGGCATGTGACGAGGACGAAGGGGGGGAAGAGGAGAGGGACGGGGAGGAAGAGGAGGAGGAGGAGGATGAGGAGGAGGAGGAGGAGGAGGAGGAAGGGGGCAAGGAGGAGGAAAGGGATGATGATGATGATGATGATGATGATGATGATGATGATGATGATGATGATGATGATGATGATGATGATGATGATGAGGAAGAGCAGCAGGTGGAGTACGGGGGGAGGGAGGAGACAGAGGATACCATGGGAATACCCAGAAAAACATGATCGCTGACTAGAAAACCTCGGCCTCCGCGCGCGCAGATCAGAATCTATCAGCATGCGAAAAGCATGCGCGGACACTAATCATGATTGGTCTTCGCGCAAACGCGCTGAAAAGCATGCTCGAAGAGTCGGAAAACCAGGCCCCCGGGGCGCGCGCGCGCGCGGGAATGCATAGGAATAGTAAGACGTGCTCGCAGACTGGGCAGAATGATCCCCCCCGCGCGCGAGCAGACCGTGTATGAAAAAGCTCCCTGCAGACGGGAGGAAGGCGTCCAGACGCCGAGCCTGTGGCGCCCTCAGGAGCAGCGGCAGCGGCAATGCGCAGCCCCAGGGCAGGAGCAGCCGGTCGTGGCACACCGTCTCACGCAGGGCCCAGCGAGCGCGTCTAGAGGGACGAGCACCGGATGTCTCAGCACCCCGTGGCACCTCTACGGCGGGCTCGTGTCGTGACGACCAGGGCGCTGGTTCCCGACACCGCGTGAATCGCTCGACCCTGAAGGATCGGCGGCTGCTCGATCGCCAGATCGTTCCACGTTGGCGGACTCTGGGCCACCGGCGGCGTTTCAACCCCGAACGCCCGCGCTGGGGTCGCAGCCGCGTCGACACGACACGAACCTACCACAGGCGATCACATGCGAGCTCTGCAGCCATCGCCGTGCTGCCAGAAGGAGCGCCGAGTGCCGAACATGGAGCGAAGGGGCTTTCCTGGCCACGGCTCGGCTCGGCCACGATGAGGCTCCCCGGTCTGGATCGGAGGAACGGCCCGGCCACCAGCGCCCTTCCTGAGCCCCCACTGGTCCGCAGTTTGGCGTCTTGGGTGGCCCGCACCGAAGGGGTGGCGATGCGCCGGCTGCCTCTGAGAAGGCGGAGGGCTTCTGAGAAGGCAGGGGGTCCCTTGAAGGAGCTGGGAGGGTATCTAAGAAGCCCCCTGCCTGCTTAGGAGCACGCGGTCTTCGTGGAAAGCCGCCCCCCCCCCCCCCCCTGTCGCCAAAGCCCCTTGGGCGCGCCGCCAAACCACACGTGAAACCTACCCCTGCAGGTCAAATGTATGAAAAAACGGGTGGGGTTCAGAATGCGGAGGGTGTCTGCAGGCAGGTGAACCCCAGCGGGGGTGTCCAATACCCCAG